CTTTCCCTAAAATTGCCATTGAATGGAACATGCAACTATATATTAAAACATTAATAAAATGGATACTTTATTTTGGTGTTCATATTTTTTGAACTCTTTTATCTCTTAATTAATTTGTTGAAATACATTTTTATCCTTTAACTAATTTGTATAATTACTTCACTATTTTGAAGTTAACCACACATTTACTTAATTTTATTGTTTTTATTTTTTTTTTCATTATTTTATAAGAAAGCAAAGAGTGTCTCACTTTCACCAGTGTTCAATAAAAATATTTCATTATAAAATTATGATCTGTGTGCTTTTTATTTTTAAGTTTTAGTGGATGTTTTTGGATGAGTGTCAACAGAGTTGATTTTAAATAAAAATGATTGTGCAAAATTGATTTAATGTTATTTATTTGAATGTTTTACTATAATTTTCTTATAATAAAATTTTAGTAATGTTAGTAATAAAATTTAATATTAAACTTTTTTAATCTAACGAAAAAATTACTTAAATTCTGTTTTAACTCAAAAATAAATTCTCTAACATAGAATAAAAAAGGTGAAAATTGACCTAAAATTAGGTTGACGATATCTAATATTAACCAAACACACAGCTGCGGCTGAATTTAAGTATTTGCCTTTTGGATCAGATTGTCATTATCCATGCCACGGCCGAAGATGGCTATTATACAAAGCCCACAGCCCACATTCAGAAATGCTTTTTCCATGTTTGAAGTTGCAACTTGCAACTGCATCTGACTCAAATAGTTTGTAAATTATGGAGTATATTTTTTTTATTCATGTGAAAAAGAGAGAGAGTATTTTTCTAAATTAACTTTAATTATTATAGAATAATGTTATTGGTACAGTCCATTTTGAAGTGTAAAAAATGGAAGAATTTTTTTAAAAAAATATTGTACGATATCATTATTATTGATTATTACATGCAAAAGAAAAAGGCAAATGAATAATATAATTGTAGATGAAAATGAAATAGCAGTAGAATTTTGAGAATGAGTAGTAACGGCGAACAAGTAGTCAAGTACTACTGAAAAGGTAGTACAAATGAATAAGCTCGTGATATCATATCATATGATATGATCGATATTTATACATGAGATATGGATGCATTAAGCAGAAACATGGATCCCCATTTTGGAGAAACATGATTGAGTGCAGCGTTGATGAAGCCCTAGCAACTGCACTCAATCATGTATTTTACCTTTGAGCAATTAACACTCTTCAACTATTATAATTTCCGAAATTCAAGAATGTGATATCATGACAATGAAATATTTGTTTTAATTCCTCTATTTCTCTTCGGATGGAACTCCAAAGCTACCTGCAACCCATTTTACTGAAGACATGTGTCATGATCAAGCTTTGGAACAAGAAATACATGAATAATGAATATTGGCTCCCTGCTCTTCTTCTGTATGCTTCCATTTAGTCCCCTCAAGAAAAACAAATGAAAACCTCCTTTTTCTCTTTAGTACGCACTCTCTCTCTCTCTCTCTTACAATTTTGTATGCATGCATAATTTCAACTTGTTAGCAATTATGTTTTCCTACTTCTTTAGTTAAAATTTATTTTTTATTCACTTTTTTTTTGTCCTACCTGTATTTTTTGGTTTTCTGGATTAGAAAATAATTTCACTCACAGTATTATTATTCATCAAAAGAAATTGCTCAAATAAAAGATTTTTTTTTTTAAATAAATTGTTATTATAATCTTATGAAAGTGACACTTGATTAAGTCATTTTATTCCTACGAATTAGTACTTGGAATGGGATCCAACATTTTTCATATTTTATGTCCATTTATATGAATTTATGTCAAAAATAGAATAGACAAACTAAATTTCACTAAAATTTCTTAAAGAAATTATAATTGATTCTAATTTTATATAAAAATTGTGTTCTAGAATGCCCGAAATAGAATAAACGATCCAAAATTTCATTAAAAATTTTCAAAGAAATTTGTAAATGAATCTAATCTTATATAAAATTGTGTCATAAAATATTTAACCCTCAGCATCTCATCTGGTTTCTCTTCCTTCACTTGGTAACGTCAATTCGAGAATGATAACAAAATCAGCGAGTATATAGGTCATTTTAACAGAAGCGCAACTATATGTCATTTGAACTCAACTACTTGGTTTAGGGAAAGGAACTTAGAATTACATATTGGAAAAGAAAAAAAAAATTACAGCTATTGGGAAGAGGCTTGTAATATGTCTGTACTAAAAGCAAAAGATAAATCAAATAAGTGCTCATCTTCAAATTTATCAGAGTGCCAAGTGCCAACAACTAATATGCAGCTCCCAAGATATTCGAGATAAATGAAAGACATAACAAGCAAAAAGGCCTTTAGAAACTCGCACACATGATTTATTTATTCAAGATATGAGCCATCATCAATTCGTATATCCATTTGACAAAGGACAAATGCCTATTGACAAACTGACAAAATAAATAAATAAAGCAATTTCAGCTTTAAAGAATATGATAAATATCATTAGGATCATACTTATTATAAATGTTTAAACGGATTGCAAAGTTTTATCAAAACACTGAAACAGATCAATTTCTTTTATCGTCCGTCCGTGTCCGTGTGTCAAACCTATGCAGCAGCGTAAATGTGCTCTCAGCATTTATTTATAAGCCCAAAATTTCAACACGAGAGGAATTTGGACTTCAACAAACAACAACACTTGATCATTTTTCGGCCCATAATGAATAACATTTAGTATTCTAATTTACACAAGTGAACCCCAAAAAATTAAACTAATCTCCTGCATTAAGGAGATATCTCATAATGGTTTTAAACTATAAAAAAATAAAAAAAATAAAAAAAATAAAAAAAAATCGACTCACCACAACTGTATCACAACTGTAATTATGGTTGCATCGATGACAATATTTTTAGAACTTCTTGAATTGTCAAAGATTACAGAGTTTAAACTTGAGATTTCTTGCATACTATTCTAATCTTTGCGGTAAACATTCAGTATTATATTGGTTTTAGACTGTGCAGGCAGCAGGCTCGTCAATTCTTCAATTAGTAAATTCCTGTTATCCAAAACTAGATTTTAACAGAAAAATCAACACATTTGCACAAAGAAGAATATATATATATATATATATATATATAACACGTAATTCCCACAAAGAAGAATATATATATATATATATATATATATAACGTAATTCCCACAAAGAAGAATATATATATATATATATATATATATAACACGAATGTGTGGCATAATGTTATAATCAGACATAGTTTCGTGCATGAGATTGCACAGAATCAGAATATCAAAATCATTGACATATATCTGAGACATGAGAAACAAAGCATACATTATAGACATCAAAATATCTATCTAACTAAACTAAACCACATTGATCCCTGCATTGGCCAATCATGTATTTTATTTTATTCAATTTTATGCAAACTCTCAATCTCAAAATTCAAATACTAATTTACAACACTGCATTGATTTCACCCCAACAACACCAAGAATAGGAAAACTACCAAGAAAATTCCACAAGAAGCAACCTGAATTTTGCAGCGACACAATCCACAACCATCCAAAAAAAAACAGCGAAAAAATTAGAAGGAAAAAAAAAAAGTGAAAGCGAAATGAAATTTGATATTTCATTATATAGTTATTGACAGAAGAGGTTGCAGTGCATCAGTGAAGTAAGCAAAAGATAAGAAGGGTAATGATTTTTGAAGAGTGGCGATGAAATGAAGATCCAACATTGAGACTAAAGAGGACGCTATGGTTTAGAATAATTACGGGAATATGCCACGCCATGCTATTAGAATTTTCTTTTCTTCCTCAATAAATACACTACTCTTTTAGGCTTAAACTTTTTTTCCTTTTTATTCTATTCCTCTGCTCTGCGTGCTTGCCTTCCACTTTCCCCACCAAATATCCCAATTCCGCCACAAAACAATTAAAATTGATGGGAAAAAAATCGACGCCGGCGGAGGAAGAAGAAGCGCTGCCGGAGCATCTGCGGTGCAGCCGGACGGACGGGCGGCAATGGCGGTGCCGGCGGCGAGTGATGGAAAACCTAAAGCTGTGCGAGATTCACTACCTGCAAGGTCGGCATCGGCAGCACAAGGAGAAGGTTCCGGAGTCGCTCAAGCTTCAGAGGAAGAGGAAAAACGACGCCGTTGCGGTTGAGATTGGGGCCATGAGGAAGCGGAAATCGGCGGAGGCGTTGGCCAGTAGGAGGAAGCAATTGGAGCTCATAAGGATGGTTCTGCAGAGAGAGGTTGAGAAGAAGAGGAAGAAGGAATCGCAATTGAATTTGCATTCGCATTTGCATTTCAATCACGATTTGCCGAATGCGGTTGTGGCTATCGGCTCCGCTTCAACGCCCAATGTGGCTTCTTCTCGCTGCGATGTTGTTGGTGTGACACCGCGTTACTTCAGGTCCAAGAATGTTGAGAGGGTCTCTGTTGGTAAGTTGCAGGTGGGTTTTGACTTTTGACTTTTGACTTTTCGGTTTCCACTACTTGTTCTCTTTTTTCTTTTCTTCCTTTGTTGTGGTGATTGGTGTGTGTTTGATGTTTTTAAGGTTGTGCAGTGTGAACGAACCTTGAAGAAGGGGAGGAGGAAGAAGTGTCATTGGTGTCAGAGAAGTGATTCTTGGAGTCTTATAAGGTGTTCAAGCTGCCAGAGAGAGTTTTTCTGCATGGATTGCATTAAACAACGGTTCGAACTTGGAACTTGTTTCGTTCATTTTGCTACCATTTGTAAATTCTTTTTTCACTGTGAATTTCTGGCTTCCTTGTGATCCTTACCTACAAGGTGCTTTATTCATTATTGTCAACATGACAACATTATAGACTATGCCACATTTTGTACAATGCTGGAGCTTGAATTTTTAACAATTGTGGTTTGATCAGTTAATCACCTAGCTGTAGATTATTTGTGATGCAGTTTTAGAACTTCTTAGATGAAAGGATTCGAAGATACCCCTTTTGAAGTAGTTTATAGAGATGTGTGGAATTATTATCAATGTGAGCAGAGGTTATTAAGAAAGGAAAAAGGAAAAAGATTTCATGTTTGTGTGCATCCAAATGAATTCAATACCACTTTCTTGTCCATGTTCTTTATGTACCCCTTTTGGAAATAGTTATATCACACTGATCAGTAATGACTAGAACTGGGATATTTTTGGAAATAGTTATATCACACTGATCAGTAACCTTTGTAGCTTGCACATTCTATGCTGATGACCAAAATATGAGACATTTGCCAATTTATTTGTTGAAAATACTTTAGGTATTTTGACACTCAAAATGAGGTTAAGATGGCATGTCCGGTTTGTCGAGGAACTTGCACCTGTAAAGATTGCTTGGCAAGTCAATACAGAGACAGTGAAAGTAAGGTCTGACATCAAAGATGGATGCTTTAATGCTTGAACGGTTTTTCTTTAGCAGCACTTTCTGACACTTCAATTTTATGCCATTCTTTTTCAGGAATATTTGGCTGGTAAAAACAGAGTTGATAGGATATTGCATTTTCATTATTTGTTATGTACGCTCCTTCCTGTACTAAAACAAATAAAAGAAGACCACTATTTGGACATAGAAACAAAAGCGAAAACTAAAGGTAGTAACTATCATTCTTCTGATTTAACGGTTTCTGAATTTAGTTTTGTTGATTACAACCTGGTTATCTTAGATGATTTTGTGCATGACAGGGAAAAGAATTTCTGATATTCTCATCAAGCCGGTCGATTTTGGCTGCAATGAGAAAAACTTCTGGTAAGTTCTCTTCTGTTGATGTTATTAAGAAAATTCAAATGATTCCCTTAGTTTTGCTTGCTAACAAATGTAAGTATCTGTGTAACACTTGTCCCAGCAATCACTGCAAAACACCCATATTGGATCTTCGTAGAAGCTGCCTTAGTTGCTCCTACAATGTTTGCTTAAGTTGTTCTCAGGCTAGTCAAGGAAGCACCTCTAAAGAAATCAACTCTTCTATATCCAAGCTACCTGACAAAATAAATGCTTGCATTTCTAGCAACCTTTTGGATGATAAGGCCATTTCTAATGGCAATTTAACTGATATGTCAATGTTACCGGAATGGACAAGTTGTAGTGGTGCTGACATTGTATCATGCTCACCAACAAAGCTTTGTGATTGTGGTGATAGCCACCTTGATTTTAAATATGTTTATCCCTTAAGTTGGATCAAAGAAATGGAAGTAAAGGCAGAAGAAATAGTTTGCAGCTATGACTTTCCTGAAACTTTGGATAAAAATTCAAGCTGCTCACTGTGTGTTGACAAAGATCATAAAACTAGCACATACAAGCAGTTACAGGAAGCAGCTCAAAGAGAAGATTCTAATGATAATTACTTATTTTATCCTACAGTTTTGGACATCAATAGCAATCATTTTGAACACTTTCAGAAACACTGGGGAAAAGGACATCCTGTAGTAGTGCAAGATGTGCTCCAAAGTACGCCAAGCCTTAGTTGGGATCCGCTGGTCATGTTCTGTACTTATCTTGAGAGGAGCATGACAAGATATGAGAATAATAAGGACTTACTTGAAGCTTGTTTGGATTGGTTTGAGGTCAGTTTATCGACATATTTGTATATGTTAAATATTTTTCAATTGATACTATCTATGTTGGTCGGGGCGGCAAAAGAGTCAGCACCATCTTAGAAAGCTATTTATTTTAATTAATGAACTTGGTAATATAAGTTGCATTTTAATGTCGATATTTCTTGCTATTTGTAACTGGCATACATTGGTGCATTATACACATCATAATTCACATATGCTCAGATCTGTGAATTATGGATCTGCTGTTGAGTCTCAAACCAAAAGACCTTCGTTAAAAGTATAATATCAATTTTGGAACTCTTACTCTGACAGGTGGAGATTAAAATTAGGCAGTATTTTACTGGGTCTCTTAAATGTCAACCTCAGAAAAATACTTGCCATGAGATGCTGAAACTTAAAGGGTGGTTGTCTTCCCAACTATTCAAAGAACAGTTTCCAGCTCATTTTGCTGAAATTATTGATGTTCTTCCAATTCAAGAATACATGAATCCCTTGTCTGGTCTTCTGAACTTAGCTGCAAATTTGCCACCGGGGAGTACAAAGCATGACATAGGACCATATGTTTATATTTCATATGGCTGTGCTGACAAAGAAGTTGATTCTGTGACAAATCTGTGTTACGACTCATATGACATGGTGTGTTCCGTAATTATATTATATTTCATTTCTTGAATATATCTAGTCTAGAATAAAATTTCCTGAGCTTTTAGTTTATTTAATTAAAACTTAACATGGAAAGTTGATTTCTAATATTATGAAATATGCTTCATCTTTTGATGTTTCCTTTGGAGACAAACCTGCTATGTCTTCTTTTTTGCATGTATCCTATCATTATAACTTAGAGATGATCTCATCTTCTGAAGTAAAAAGCATAAAAGGCTTCCTATTAAGGAAGATGTGTTGGCCTAATGTGCTACGAAAAACCCTGTTCTTGTACATGTGCTTGTTTTCAGGTTTCTGAGTGAAAGCATGAGAAGTTCTCCAATACAAATCAGGCTGCATCTTATTTTCTTATAATTTTTCAAAATTTAACTGTTTCTGGTTTTATTAGCCATCACTTCGTAGTTATAGTGAATAGACCACTAAAACTCAACTATGTCAAAAAGTAGATATTGCAACCAAAATATAGTCAGATCCTTGCTCAAATGATAATCTGTTTTATTAGGAATTGATTCCTTAGTCCAACAAAACAAACTTTTTATTAAGAATTTGTATAGCTTTATAACAAGGATTTAAAAATGTATGTTCTTCAATTGCAAGCTCTAAGATATGCCACAGTAAGTTCTTCCCTTTAGGCATTATTTTTGCCTGTCTTCCAAATTACTAAGTGAATGGTAGACACCAAAACTAATTTGTAAGGCTGTATCTTATGGCTTCTGCCTAGAAAGTGTATGTGAGACCTGCTCTCTCTAACTTTCAGACTGACACATATTTCAGTCGTTGAAGCATTATAAAATCTTCCTGTCAAATACCAGTGCTCCATTGCACTTGGTAAAAGAATTTTGTGCAGATGACAAGTTCCATTCACTATGTCTGATTTGTATTTCCAGGTTAATATTATGGCACATACCATGGACATCCCTCTGTCTACGGATCAGGTTACTAAAATAAGTAAGTTATTGAAAAAACACAAAGCTCTATGTCGAAGGGTATCTTCCAAAATTACAAATGAGCATGCAGAAGACAGGGAACAAAATGAAATGCATAGTATAATAAGAGAAGAAATCGACTTTTTAAAGAGAGTCAGTAGAACATCTTGCATCTCTACTGAAGCCAACACAATATCTAATCGGAATTTAGACAGAAATATTTCTGATGATGAAGAATGTTATTCCAATTCTGAAACTGAAAAGGCACAAAGCTCTTTAACTTTCCACAGGGCAGTTCTAAGCACTGAAATATGTCCAGATCATAATCCTAGAAATCCCTTAGAAAACTCAAACACCGATAAAATGAAGTTTACTGAGAATTCTGGTGCCCAGTGGGATGTCTTTCGAAGACAGGATGTGCCAAAGCTCTTAGAATACCTTAAAAGACACTCTCATGAATTTTCTTATACTAGTGAACATCACGAGAAGGTAAATTTAAACACAATTTCTAAGCATGATCTTATAAGAGTTGGGGATAATTAATTTTATCTCTCGAATGCAGATGGTTCATCCAATTCTAGATCAGAGCTTCTTCCTTGACAATGCTCACAAGATTAGACTTAAGGAAGAGTTTAGTAAGTATACCCATGTTTTATCATATATTATATTCCCGCATAACTAAATTTGACTCACCTGTCACTGTTGCCAGAAATTGAACCATGGACTTTTGAGCAACATGCTGGGGAAGCTGTCATCATTCCTTCCGGATGTCCATACCAGATTAGGAATCCTAAGGTCTCTGTTACATTTGTATAAAAGATTTCTTACCCCATCTGTCTCTTTTTTATGAATCAATTTAAACAACAGAAACGTTATACTATTCTTGAACTGGATTTACATTCTCATTGAACTTGATTTTTACATTTTGATATTTACTGACAACGTCAAATCTGTAGTTACATTTACATTTAAGCAATATGAAGTTATCAACACTTACATTGTATCCTAACATTTAAAAGAAAACAAAAGGATGATCACACTATTAATGACCTTACCTTCCACACGATTGCTGAAAGATGATATTATTATATCATTATTGATTTATGTTTCACTTTTTATCCAAGTTTTTGAGTGTTTGACAATTATTTGATTATTGATCTGCAGTGTTGTGTTCATGTGGAATTGGAATTTGTGTCCCCCGAGAATGTTAATGAGTGTATCCAATTGATTGATGAAGTCCGGCTGCTTCCAAAAGACCATAAAGCAAAAGTGGAAAAGCTGGAGGTAGACTTCATAATAATAATAAATAATATTACTTACCAATTTTTGCTTTTTCCTACTAGATGTACACCTGAAATGACAAGCTCTGTTTCTCTTTTGGGTTAACGAAAACAGGTGAAAAAAATGGCCCTTTATAGCATGAGTACAGCAATAAAAGAAATACATGAGCTTACATGCAAAACATGATTGCACGAGCTAAAATACATGCTTAAGATGCTTCTAATCTTCTCGTGTCTCAGCTTCCATACCATGTATTTTTTATTTATTTTTTTGTATAGAATAATTCTAGAGCTCGTTTTAAGATTTAGCAAGGTACTTAAATTGGTTACTACCGGTTTCTATTCCATTTACTTTGTATTTTCTTACTTAAACCTGAAATAAATATTGCTTAGTCTGTATATATTTCTCTAATAGTTTTCTTTTATAGCAAAATTTAAATAGTGAGGGGGAAAAATACAGTCTCACCGTTACCATCTATTTACTTCCCTTGTTTTAAATTTCACTCACTCTGTTTTCTTAAATTATAGATACTAGTTTTAGAAGGTGTGATAGTAGATTTGTTTATGAAAATGGTGTAACACATTGGGTGTAGTCTGTTTGAGAGTGTTTAAGCTGGAGTGGTATGTAGTGATGAGATGGTATAATTAAAACAATTTACAACTGTGTTTCGGATTGGACACATGCTTCAAACACTTAAATCAGTTCAGATACACTTCTAACGTACTTAAGTAGGACATAGCTTGCATTAGGCATATGGCAATATGGCATACAGATCCGTTGTCTATGTTAATTAACATTTTGAAATGCTATACGATAATGCAACCATGGGATTAAGAGCAATGTTAGTTAACCTTTTTGTTTTACACAATTTTTATTATAAATTTAATTGGAACATGCTAATCTTCTAATAGTAAAAAAAAATTACATAATCATCCAATCAAATGCTGTCATATAATTAAAATTGTTGCCTTAAATAATTATTTCAAAGTTTTTTTTTCCTAATTTTTTTTCCTCTTGCTGATGCAAATTATGTCTAGTACTTATGCGGTTCCGCCAAGAGAAATTATGTCTATAACAATTGATAATTGTTTGTCAGGATAAAAATCTATATACTGTAATGTATTAAAATTAAACATTTTATAAGGTTAAATAGCGAGTTTACCTTTTTATATAAGTCGTAAAATTAACCCAGAAATAAAAAGTATACTAAAGAAATATGTTGCAAATTGTGAAGATTTCTCAATCATTTAAATACAGCTAAACTTCGCATTCTTTCCTTATCTCTTCTTGCCTCCACCTGAGAGTTCTCCCTCGTTCTAAGAGCTGCTCGTAGTATTTTTCCCTTAATTTCACTTTAACTAAGAAATAATAAGCAGAAACATTAGCGGCGTTCTTAAGTTTAAAACGTGACATTTGTAATAAGTAGGGTCATAAAATGTTACTTCTCATTCCAAATTCTAATTATACCGTTCATTTATCGGGTAGGTACAACAACAGGCTAAGGGAAAGGAAATATATTCACCGCTTTATTCTTTCTACTTCCATTTTTCTTGTAAACTGTGATGCTCAAAAAAAAACTTGGAAATTACCCAAGATAAATACAGGGGATAAATCTTTCAAAAATTAAAATAAAAACAAGCAAATGTGGGAGAGCCCTCAGGACATGTTTTGCTTTGGGTTTTATGATGTTAGTCAAAATTGTTTCTCAAGAGCCTCAACAAAGAAAGAAAGTTCCTCCTTAAGGGGCCATGAGTCCGTCAATTGTGTAAGAAAGAGACTTTGCCCAATCAGCTCTAAGTAGCAATGTCTGCAACGTCTGCATCACATTGTACCCAGGATCAAGCTTTCGCTGCCAACCCTACAAATTCAACATTTACCAATATCAGCGGAAAGGAATAGAAAGGTTTATCCTTTGTTGTATGTGGTAGGAAGATAGATGTTTTACATGCATGCATGTTCGTGAGGAAATAAGTGATACACTAAATTATACTTTTGGTCAATTATCTTGGATTTTTAGATTTATTTTGATTCTTAATTTATTAAAATATTCATTTTGATCCTTTATCTTTTATAGTTGAATCAATTTGATCATTTTAAAATAATTATCATTTTCAATTTTATGAAATGATTTTAAATCAATTTTTGACAAATTCAAGATTTAAAACTTGGAACATTAGATTTACCTATATGAAAATTATAAAATGCAATTACCGTTCAAATCCAAAAGAACTACAAATATAGTGAAAATCTTGCAAAAAGTATATTTCATAAATAACTAAAAAATAATATAAAATTATATTTTTTGAAATTTTACTTTTACCATGTTTATAACACATTTGATTTGAAATATAAGTGAATTTTATAAAATAAGTTTGAAGTCTTAAATTAGTTAAAAATATTGGAAACGACTAAATTAACCTAAATTTAGGATATAAAGAATTAAAATGAACATTTTAAAAAATAAAGGACCAAAAATATAATTTAACCTAAGTGTTATTGTTTGCATGTATGTTCACAAACTTGCATATTTGGTGAACATGATGAAAAGAAGAAAAATAATTACCTCAAGAACCAAGGTCGTCACCATGACAGTACAAACATTGCCATCAATATTAACTCTATGACGCCTAACTTTCTCAAGTAATTGCTCCATGCACTCTGCAGGATGGACCAGATCACCTTCAGGGGTGCCCCAAAAAGTAAACGCCTCTTCCACCTCCTGTTAGAAAACAAATAGAAGAAAATGTATGACAAAGTTCAAGATCATATTCAAGGAGTTCCAAAAAAAATAGACTTATCGAAGAAAATAAAAGACATTTATCTGTAGAAAATTAAGCAGACAGACAAAAACCAGCGTCAGATGGCTACTAACAACACTGAAATAGAATAAAATATTCAATGATCAGGGTCAATTAACCAGAAAAGTCCGCACATATAACTACATGTGTAATACACCTGTCCGTATAAGCTTTGACTAAGATATCACAAAACAAATCCATAATAGTAAAGTCCTTGTTTGAAACTTTGATTGTAGTCTTCAGAAACTATTCTCGGTTTTTTTTTAAATAAATAAGAAAAACATGTTTGTATAATTGTTTTCTACATATGTATTTTGTAAACTGCTCCCAAAATTGCAGTTCTGAAAACAAGAAAACAGAAACAACTTGGTTGTTTTCTGTATATTTGTTTTTAGGATAAAATGTTTTTGGTCCAAAATATTTCAAAATTCGATGTTAGTTCCTATAAAAAAAATCAATCACATATTTTTAGTCCTTGATGAGGGACTACAACCACATCACTTTTGATAAATGTAGGGATTAAACATATTAAGTTTTTATAGGGACTCCAAAAGAATTTTAAGGAACAAAAAATATATTTAACCCTTGTTTTTAAATCTGATGGTATTCTTGCAATAAATAAAGAACCTTTTTGACCTTGTACTGTGTATAATTGACAAGTGTTAATGTCTCATGTACAATTATTTTAAAAACAAATTTTGGAACTTTTTAACAAACAAATTTTTGTTTTGTTTTGTTTTCAAAAAATATACTGAAAACAATTTAATAACTGTTGAAAATAAATTTTTAAAAAAAACAAGAATCATTTCAAACAAGACCTAAGTCTTAGTTAAAACATTTGTAGATTGAATTGAATAAAAAATAAATGTAAGTTGAAGAAAAAAATACCTCAATGAAGGCCTTTGGATTTGGACAGTTCTGTTGCTTTGACAAATTGAGGGTGCATTCTGCAGCAGTCCGGCCGTCTCGGCGGGCAACAGCTTTGAAAAATTCTAGTAGATTTACTCTATCACTTCCAGAGAGTTCAGCAGTCATGCCTACATCAAGGAAAACTACATGAGGCTTTGATTTGAAGAGCCGTTTTTGAGACTTGTTCTGAGACACTCGAACGAGGATATTTCCAGGATGCATATCTGCATGAATGAAGTTGTCCACCTGAAAGAAGACATTGCAATGTCTTGGAAGCTAAAACTTTATGATGTTCAATTATAAAATTAAAACTAATATGGCACCCATGTTTCTTTTAGTTCATACTAAGGATTAGGACATAATATGATTATTATTAAAGATCAAAGATGTTCTTTCAAAAACAAACTATTATTTTAGATAAAGAAATTCATTATAACTAGGAAATAAGCACAGCTATAGATAAAGATAAGCTACGAAAGAAAACCCAATAAATTAATCATATAAATAGATACTATATCGTTAGGTAGCAGCTAGTTACCCATTAATTAGTTAGGATTTAGGAATTGCCTACAAATAAGAGGGATTGTCAGCTGTGTGACACTGTTTTCCATCAATATAGATCATTTCTCTACAATCTGAATCTGATACTGTTTCTTTCATAGATATAAACAACCAAAACCAGTTGAGTAAAGCTCACCAAATTTATGAAAATCCAACTAAGAAACCCTTCCGAATCTTAAATTGACTGTCATGAGCAGAAAAAACCAGCTCAGCCCATAGTAAAGACAGTTTCCAGAAAGAGTTGATAATTATTAAAAAACAAAAAATGGTTATGGATTTTGTAGAAAAAAAATATGCATCATAACAAATCATGGATATGTGATTCGAAGTCATCGCTGAGAATGGGATGATTTATACTTTATATAGTGCATAATAAATCAAGAACCCCGAAAATAAAAGCAATGGAAATGCTGCAAAATAGCCAAATGAGAGATATATTTTACCAGAAGCATTTTCAAAAGTGCATGAGTTCCAATGTGAGCAAGAGCAGATTTAACCCGTTCATGTCCTTGAAGATCATCAACATAATATGAGACACTTTCACCCTTTTCATATGTTTCCACCAAGACAGCAGGGTGCACAAGTGGATAGACAGGCTTAGCGAAAGAAACATCCTTCCATCTACGGAAATTATAAATAAAGCGACTCAAATGGGCAGCTTCCCTAGCAAGGTCAACTTGAGACATCATGAAAACTGCAAATTGTTGTACACTCTCATCTAATCTTAACCAATTAAGAGCAGGAATGAAGTTGGAAATTTTTGCTGCCAAATTAATAATAGCAAAATCCCGTCTGATTGATTCTCCCACACCAGGATGTCTAACCTTTACTGCAACCACCAGTGGCTTTGCCTGCTGACCAGGATAACGAAATTTTAATGAAGCACGGTGCACCTGAGCAATGCTTCCAGAAGCAACAGGAACTTCTTCAAAGTTCTCAAAAATTTCAGAAATTTTTCGACCAAATGCTTTTTCTATAGTTTTCTTTGTGTAGCTGAAACTATGCTCAGGAGCTTTGGTATGAAGCTCTGAAAGCTTAGTGCATAGATCTCGAGGAAAGAGATCAGGCCGTGTAGCTGCCCACTGACCCCATTTTATGAATGCTGGACCTGATTTTTCTAATGTGCGATGAACAACATGGAGCCACAGTTTCCTGAACTTTGGTCCAAAAGAATCTGCAAATGGTGCCATCACAATGCTGGGAGAGAATAGTATTGCTAGATAGAGAGCCCTCACTAATAAGACAAGACCTTCAACAATCAAGAATGTAAATGTAAACATGTAATTATACCCATCTTGTGCACGCATATACAAACCATTCTGTGATGGGTAACGTTCTACATCTGCCCAATTTCTCTGAGCTAATGCAAGCTCTCCAGATGTAAATGCCAAAATACCAGGAACTATCAAATAAGAACGAGCCAAAGCCAAGCTCACTGCCTGAGCAATCATATTTACAGTAGGAGGAAATCTACCATCACCACTGCAACAATACTTTCTGAACAGGCTTTTCCAAGCAATCTGAGATTGATGTGTAACTGTTTTACTTGCTGAGGTTACAGAAAAGTTCCTGAACGAAAAGCATTTATGAAAGCCTTCCCTTGTCCCATGCCATAAGAATGAACTGCGTGCTTCACTAGGAAACTTATATTGCATGTACAACCGGCAGTGGTGGATACTCGGTCCAACTGGGACAATTGGCCCATTTTTCCTCACTTCCCGGTATCTGCTATTGATTCTACGAACAGATTGAGCAGATCTCCTTATATTTCTAAGCATCAAATATCTGCAAGGTACAACCAAAAACTATGTCAACTAGGAAACAACAATATTTTAATCAAGTAATTCGACTATGTTTCGAGTTATTTTACCCATAAATACTGTAAATAAGTAAAACATTACTTTGGAAATGCTACCTACAGTTGCTTCTCTTCACTCATGACCATAAAAGGTATACATGTAGATATGCATTAAATTTTACACGAGTGTACACAATGTCCATTCCTCCAAGAGGCATCAACGGGATGAAAATTCAAATGATCCAGCATATAATATGTTCCTCTATTTGATCCTCATTTTTTGGAGTCCGAATTCATTCCCACCTTGCCAGTATTACCTCTCTATTCCACTCAATTACTGCCTGCTCTACATATTAAGAAAAAAAATGGTAAAAAGTTAAAACAATTACAAGACATTATGTTACACACCAAGGTGGGAATCATAGGGAACTTAATGGGGTTAGATATTTCAATTAGAAAGTGAGAGTTGCTGTTTCTATTATTTTCCTTTGTTAGAATAGATCTCTACCTCTCCAAGGCAGTGAAGGCAGTCCAATAGAAACAGGTCAGAGATTAAATTTTCATTACTCAGAGCACCACACACCCAGCTCAAATTGTAGATATACACGAGATTAAAGTCCCCAAATTGCTGAAGAATCAACAATAATTATTGGGGTACCACAGAATTGAAAAAGATCAAAGATTCATACACTGAGTCCAGATGCATTTCCCGCATTAAAGATCCCGGGGTCAAAAACCAACCTACCCCAGAAAGAAAGACGCTAAAGATTTTATCTTTTAATCAAATAAACACAGCAGCATGTATGCAACAGCCACAAAACCTACTAGAAACAAAAAAAAAATGAAAAAAAATAATAATTGAATTCCGGAAAACGTGGAGGCGAAGGAAAAATGAGAAAAAAGAAAAGAGCGAAGTGGTAAGGGAGAGAGGAGGAAGAGGACCTGAGAAGGAAAGGAACATGCAATGGAATGGAATGAGAGTTTGGAAGATGCGATTAAGTAGGCGAGCCTCAGTTTTGTGCGATTGTGAGAACACTTTTGTCTGTGAGTCGTTCATAACCAATACAACAAACCCTAAGGCCCAAGAAACTCATTTCACCCTTTTTAATTAAATTAAATACTTACCTTTTGGCTTTCACTCTTCTATATTATGCCAATTTCATTTCTAAACATTTTGTAAAAAATTATATTTTTAATTTAATCTCTGATATATCTTTTAAGAGTGAAATAAAAAATAAAAATTACTTACTTTATGGATGATAACTAACTTTTTTTGCAAAGACATATAGTGCTTTTTTTTAGTGAAAATTAAAATAATTATCTTATATAGTGATATTCTTAAAAAGATATTTTTTAACCACGTCAATTTTAGACTAAATTTGTCTTTTTGTTAATTTATCTTGTTAAAGAAGTTATAAAGATCTCACGAAAATCAAAACTAACATTAATAATGTGAAAATTTAATAGAAAATTTGATTTAACTAATAAAAATACTTTAAGAAGTTCAAGTAAATTTATTAAAATTAAAAACATCAAACTAAAATCTAAAATAAAAATAAGAAACTAAAATTATATTGTAGCACATTTAATTCATCAAAAGAGTAAACTTTAAAGGAATTCATTTAGTGTAATGATCATTTGAATTTTAAAAAATATTCAGTGACTACTTTTTCAACTATTAACATGGTAAGATCTATGTTTTGGATAGTTAAATTAAGCCCTTTTTTTTTCTTTTTGTTGTACTATTATGACATAAAATAAGTTAAAAGAAATGTATTAATATTTTGTTTTAGTTTTTCCCTTTCCCATTATTGCAAATTCATTTTTTTCCTCTTTATATTTTTTTTCCATTTTAAATTTCTTTATGATACCAATAATATAATATTATTATCGACAAGACATTTTCTTTAACGTGACACTGACACTGTGATACATAATTACATATTACGTTGTTGTATCACATGATAATGTAAAAAAAAACAAAAATAAAATTTGACATCAATAAATTTTACTTTTGTAACTATTTTTTATGACATATATTAAAGATTAAATGTTTAAAATTTATAAAAATAATAATAATAATTAAAAAATTATAAAGACAAATAAAAAATGGTTAAACTATATAGACGAAAAGTATATTCAAACTTGATTAATTTAATTTCTAGAACTAAAGAGTCAACCATACTAAAAATAATTCCAAGTAAATAATCTTGATGGAAAAGGTATGATAGTTTTCCGTTTTTTTATTCTTTTTGTTTATTAATGTTTTTTATTCTTTTGAATTCTAGAGTCGCCATGGGACAGAATAAATAAGTTTACAACATATTTTTCAATCGCGTAGACAATTTGACGAATTCTATCTTTGAACGGTAAACTTAAATTTTCATTCTTTTTGTTCTACAGAGTTACGTGATATTCATCAAATCAAACGTCAATGTAATTTCAAATTTGTTTGGATTTTGAGTATATAATTGCATCAAATATTTAGAGAAAGGGTTGTATAAGTTTTTAGTAGTCTTATCTACTCGAATAAATTTATTTCTAATAAAAATAATTTTGATCTATATTAGAAGAAAAAAAATACTGAATTTCAATGCTGTGGATATGACCTAAATTTTTATATAACAACAAATAAATATTAATTTTATAATCGATCATTCAATTAAATGAAAGTTTGACTTTCTTTACTATTTAATTAATGCTGAGTTTAGCACAAGTGAGAAGAATTGGTAGCCAAGTTTAGCACCCATCAATGAAAGCTACATATGTGTTGCGGTATAAAGGAACGTGTCATTTTATAGTGCATAAGTAACCTAAGCCAATGCTTTATGTTTATTAATCGGCTGTTTATGGCGTTACACCTCCATGTGCCTAATGTTATCATCTTCTCTTTATTTAATGCGAACATCATACTTTTACCATGATTAACAATTTCAGGACAAAAGACAACCAAAAAAAAAGAATTGGAAAAATAAGAATCTCGTGTTAAAATTGCTTTTAAAATGAGGAGATAGATGTCCTAATGTTTATTGTAAACTTTTATTTCAAAAATTATAATTAAAGATAAAGTTAAACACTTATACACTGGCAACTAATTATATCTTTTAATTGTGTCATGTCACTGTTAAAAATAAATGTGTTTATAATGACATGGCACAATTAAAAGATATACTTGGTTGCTGGTGTAAAAAAAAATTCACTAATAGTATATAAGTGATTAACTCTTAAAGATATTTATCGTAAATGCGTAAGAGATTAGGAACTGAATTTAAGATTTTATTTTATTTATAAATAAGGAATTGAAATTATTTGTTTTACTTTTTTAAACCCTAAATCCTAAATTAAGATATGTATGATGAATGCTAAATTGAAGTCAATCGAAACAACCAGAAGGCCTAGGTAGTGTTACGGCCCAGTGGTGACCCAAATCCAACTAATGACCCACTTGTGTTTGCTTAAATTAAACATCACAAACGAGTGGACAAGGCCCGTGTACGTCACCGATGGTTTATGACTTTAGGCTCATGATATATACACCTCCTTTTATTATAAGTACACCTCTTTAATTTTTTTTTTAAAATATAAAATATTAATTTTTTTATTTTCTAATTTTACACTTCCAACTTTCAGTTTTCTTCTTTCTTCTTCTTTTTTACACACTTTTTTTTCTCTTTTAATTTTTAATACTACTAAAATAGGTGAATGAAAGAAAGGTAATGGATGCATATAAAAATTGAAAAAAAAAAGATAAAATGAATGAAAAAAAAGTACGAAATTAAATATTGTGGATGTAAAATTAAAATTAAAAATTAAAAATTAACAATACTTTAAAAATTTAAAATTTTTTAAAAAAAGAAGGTGTAATTATAGAAAAAAGGAGGTGTATACATCATGAACCATGACTTTATGTAGTATGTACTCACCATTTAAAGATTTTTTTTTAATATAATCGTCTAATCAAAATTCCTGGTGAATAATAAATTTATTATCTTTTAAAAATCATACATATCATTGATTAAAAGAAACAAAGTCAAAACTTATATTTAAAGTTTTAAAATATAATAAATTTGAATGTGATATGTTTTCAGTAATCTGAACTACAGCCCCAAACTTCCACCATTCGACGTTAACAGTGATTCCTTTTTCTGCTACCCTTATTATTCCCAAAGACTTTACTGTAACTGTGATTGTAAATTATTAAATTCATAACTGTCAGTAGAAATAGTGGTGCGGTAATTTTACTTTTGACCTTTTACGTGAATTTGAGTGGAGGAGGGTGGATTGGAAGGGATTTAAAAGAAATAATTATGCTTAGTAGGATAGAATTGAGTGAAATTTTAAGAATAAATAATGAGATCTTAAAAAATGTGAAGATTTGCATGAATTGTATATCAAAAAATAAAATTATTTTTGTCATCTTTATATTCATTATGGTTTACTTTATATTCGATTACGCTATCTTTGATATTGGTTTATGATTTTGATTTTTTTAATATTTAATTATGTTTATTTGGTGACTTTTAATATTCAATTATCCTTATTTTTTATTCATATTTGATTATCATTATTATGTTCAATTATGATAACTTTTAATGCATTATATGCATAAGAAAGTAACAACACACATTAATGAGTGGAAGGGTAAAATGATAGTTCATATATTATTTTTTTTTACATAAAAATCTAATTCTATAAGAAATATTATATATAGTTACATAAAAAAAAAAGAGTGCAATTATAGGTATAATATATGTAAGTGTATATGTATATATCTATTTGACATGAGACTACACATAATTTTAATATTAATTTTGAATGAAATTTAATAACATATTTTGTATATCACTATAATATATATCTACATTTTTTAATAATATATCAACATATTGTATATCTATTGTGTAAGTAAAAGTAATTTTTAATCACAAATATTATGTCACTATATAATAGTTGTCGGTATATGATAACTTTTTTGTAGTATAACTTAATAAATATAATTTTAAAATATCAATTCACTTTTATTTTTCATTTAATTTTTCCCTATTTATCAACTATAAAATTCACTTTATTCTATTCTATTTCATATTAAATCAATTCTTACATTTTTTTTTATTTCCTCCACTTCCTTACTCTCTAGCAAGCATAGTGTTAGGATACTTCTAATACCATACATGTAATTAATGATACCATATGTTGCACAAATTATTTTATCGTACTTGCCTATTTTAATATGAAAATTGTTAAGAGTACACACTACAGTTTAAGGTCTATACATAGAAAGAAGAGAGATAAAAGAGTATTGATTAAATTGGTAAGGATAAGAATGGATTATTATAATTTTTTAGATAAAAAAATAATAGATACACTTAATCATATGATAGACTATAAATTAAGAGAAAAATTGAATAAAAAGGTAATTGTATGAATATAACTACAGGCTCGGATCATCAATCTACGGTGACATTTTTACGACAAGAAATCTTAGCCATTAAAATTTTAATTTATTTTATTTATAAAAAAAACTCTATAAGCCTGTATAAATCATGGATAAATTAGATGAATGGAATTTATCCTCTTATATAAAGTTTGAGTGCAGAAGATCCCTCTCCATTTACTCATTTAAGACTGGGCCTTTAGATATAGTTCTAGCTTAACAGAAAAAAAAATAATAACTATTGTTTTTGAATCAAAAGATATGAAGATTCAAACTTAGGACTATATACATGTTATTCCAACAGCACCATTAGATCTGGACCAACCCTATTGATTAACTGTTTAAATAAGTTAACTTTTTAACCTACTAAAATTGTTATCCGAATACGGTTATCTTTCAAAGAAACACCAAAACGAACATGATTGGCTAGGAATTTCATAAAACGGTTTGCAAAGCCCGGCCCAATAAAAGCATTTTTTTTTGGCGGAGAAGGGGGAATGAGGGGTTCGTTTATAACCCATATCATTTATGTTTTTTTTTTTCAAAAAAGAAAAATATATGGACCATGGGGTTGTTATAACCCTTAGTGACTTCTATAAAAATAAATAAATAATGAGATTTTTATAACCTAACGACTCCTTAAAAAATAAAAA